GAGGCAGGCGGATCTCTGTGAGTTTGAGACCAGCCTGGTCTACAAGAGCTAGTTCCAGGACAGGCTCCAAAGCCACAGAGAAACCCTGTCTTGAAAAACCAAAAAAAAAAAAAAAATTGTGTTTGTATACGAACACTACTCGGTGTGAAAACATACTGCACAAGCATAGCAGCTCTGGCTGCTCTTCCAGAGAACTGGGTTCAATTCCCGACACCCACACGGCAGCTCACAACTGTCTGTAACTCAGTTCTTGGGGATCTGCTACCCTCTTCTGACTGCCATGGGCACTTGCTGTACTTATGCACAGACATACATTTAGGCAAAACACACACACGCATAAAATAGAAATCTTTTCTTTTTTCAAAGTCTCACTGCATAGCCCTCGCTGGCCTCAAACTCACAATCCTTCCGCCTCTGGCAGCCTGAGTACTGGGAACTGTAGTGGTGCCACCAACATGCCAAGCCTAGAAACAATTTGGATTACGAGTTTTGAAAATTCAAACAAGAAATTACTCACAATCTCAGGCACAAATTCAAACTTCAGTAAATATTAATTAAAATGTCTGCCTCCCAAATATTCCCTCTTTTACAAAAAGGTACATTTGGATACATTTACATTCTTGCAGATTTTTATAACAAGATTTTGACCTTTAAGCGTTTAGACTGGTATTTTAAAAGCTAAAAATAGAACCCAAAATTATACAACGAAATGTGTCCTCCAATCTATTCAGCAAAAATCAAAGTACCCAGCATTGGAATGAAAGAGAAAGCACCGAGTTTATTCAAATTATTCAAATCACAGCCACAGCATCCTTTTCCCCCTACTTCAGCCACATCTCCTCATGTTTTCCCAGCTGTTTAGCAGGGAAATGAAGGTTTGAGTAGTGGTGAATCTTTTCCTCAACAAGATCTGACTTTTGCACTAAGTCTATAGCATCCAAATCAGTTACACGCAAATGCCATACTTAAATGCCATAAGATTCATTTTGTGAGCCATGCATGGTGGTGCACGCCTTTGATCCCAGTACTTGAAAGGCAGAGAGAAGTGGATCTCTGTGAGTTTGAGGCCAGCCAGGTCTACAGAGTGAGTTTCAGGACAGCCAGGGCTACACAGAGAAACCCTGTCTCAAAAACAACCCCCCCCCCAAAAAAAGGATTAATTTTGTGAAAGAATTTTTATTTTATAAACTTTATTATTTAAAAACTTGCAAATAAATAAAAGGACCCAAAATTAACAGGACCCAAAGTCTACAAAACTCAATGAACTTTTATACAGTTAAAATTTACATTTTGGAACATAAGCTTTTGGTTTTGGTGGTAGATAAGTACATAAAATATCTTCAATACTGAAAGTATAAAATTTAATGTGAGGCTCCACTGTTTCTGTTCTGATCCCTCCACCCCCGCTTGGTTTTTCAAGAGAGGACTCCTCTGTGTATGTAGCCCTGGCTGTCCTGTCCTAGAACTGGCTTTGTAGACCAAGCTGGTCTCAAAATCAGAGATCTGCCTGCCTCTGCCTCTCTGCCTCTCTGCCTCTCTGCCTCTCTGCCTCTCTGCCTCTGCCTCTGCCTCCCGAGTGCTGGGAATAAAGGCGTGTGCCACTACCACAAGGCCTTAATTTGTTTCCTTATTATTTTCTGTGTGTAGATGTTTGACCTGCATGTATGTCTGTGCACCACATGTATGTCTCATGCCCAGAATAGGGCACTGATTCCTGGAACTGTAGTTACTGACAGCTCTGAGCTGACAGGTAGGAGCCAGGAATCGAGCCCAGGTTCACTGGAGAGCAGTCGGTGCTCTTAACAGCGGAGCTGTCTCTCCAGCCCCAGTGTGAGTAAAGGGGAAATGGTTTTAAGGGATTAAAGTAAGAGACCAGCCCTCACGATGGCTCTTGCTTCCCTTAGTAGTAGCGAATAGCAGAGCATGTGTATATGTGAGTGGTGCGCATGTGTGTTTGAATATTTATGTAGGTTGGTGTATATATGTCTAAGCACCCACACACATAAAGGCCAGCTGTGGGTGTTCCCCCATCATTCTCCACCTTATATATTTAGGTAGGGTCACTTGATCCCAGAGCTCTGATTCAGCTCCTCTAGCTAGCCAGCTTGTTAGTCTAGCTGGCCAATGTGTTCCAGAGCCTCCATCTCTGCCTCCAAAGCGCTGAGATTGCCAGCCCAGCATTTACAAGTGTGCTGGGGATCCACGCAATGGTCCTCGATGACAAAGCCATTCCCTCAGCCCAGGATCAAGTCAGTGCTCTACCCACTGAGCCGTCCCCTCGGCCCGGAATCACACCGTCAGTGCTCTACCCACTGAGCCATCCCCTCGGCCCGGAATCACACCGTCAGTGCTCTACCCACTGAGCCGTCCCCTCGGTCCAATTGACAGGGCTTTTGCTAAGATGTCTAGACTAGCCACCAATTCACAATCCTCCTGCCTCACTGTCTGATGGGCATATAGGCATCAGTCACCCATCCCCACAGCTCGCAGATTCTCTATTTTGATATGAGTTCCAATAAATTCACATACACTCTTAAGTCAATTTTATCCAGTGTACATGTGATGTGAACTAATATTAATGAAATATCCTATTCAGATACAACACAAATCTACACAATAGTAGAAACACAGAAAACTACAATTATTATGTGAACAAGGGGCTGTCAACTTCTTGGTACTGTTCTTTACTGTATATCTAAACGAGGCCCCAAAATGAATACAAGACACTGGAGCTCTTGGAACCTTGGTCTCTGTTCCCAGTTTGCAGCTGACAATAACTGGAATGCCAGAGGCTAGATATGCTAGAAGTCTCTATCTACATAAAATAGGGCAAAATATTACAATCAAGTTGAACAAAAAAGTTCACCACGTCACGCCATAACAACCTGGCATCTCTAATTCTTCCTTTATATTCAATGGTTACTTTAAAAAGAAAGTGTCACGTGACATGTAACCAACATCAAAGGCCAGACGCCTACCCAAAGCACTTCCCTTAACTTGCCTTTTTTTTTTCAAATCAAATTTATCTGAAACTAGGGAAGCACAAAGCTTACAGTCTCTAAAAAGAAAACAAACAAACAAAAAAAAAACTGTCGTTACTTCCTGTGCAGATAAAGAGCTGATGGTTGGGGAGACCGCTTGCCACACAAGCCAAAGAAACTGAGTTTGATTCCCCAAAACATATGTTTAAAAAAAAAGGTACCTCACTATACCTATAATCCCAGCGCTAGGGAGACAGAGATGGGAGGATCCCTAGGTACTGCTGGCCAGCCAGTCTAGCCAAATCAGCAAGCCTGGGGTTCAGTGAGACAAGGTGGGAAGTAACTGAGGCAGACACCCAGTGACTAGCTCTGGCCTTCACACACACACCTGCACACACACACATGAACATATAACACACACAAACACAAACAGCTGAATCATCTAAGCAAAACTTTCAAAATAAGCAAAACTTCCCAAGGTATTATTTTAAAATTACTTCATTTGCTGCCCAGTCAGGAAAGCTAACCTCCAAGGCTGCCCTAAACAATTTGTTTGGGTCTCCAGGGTCCTTCAATTCGCCCAGAACATAAAACTGTCAAAATCTAATGGCAACAACAGTAACGAAACCAAGTGCAGAACTGTGTTTGCTGGCAACCACTGAAGTCAAATAAAACTTGGGTCTAGAAAAGAGCAAAGACAACGTGTCCTTAAGTTTCCTCTAACTTCCCTCATTCTACACGTCCCCTTCCTCTTCTTGGAGAGGAGAATGGGATGCCAAATTAACAGTCAGAAGGCTGAGAACAGCTAGTTCCCGGAGGGTGCAAGAATTTACAATGCACACTTGGCAGGGAGCTCGGTGGGCGCGCACACACACACGCACACGCACACACACACACACACACACACACACACACCAATGCTCAGAGGAATCTTTCATAAAATGTCACTATGTAACAGAAGTTTTAAGGTCTTATTTAGGCCTAAGGCCAGTCCTATCCAGTACACTGTAAACCACAGCCTAGAAAAGCTCCATTCTCCAAACCCAGAGTTTCTGATAATGCTCCAAAGAGCACGGATTCTGGACCCCTTCAGTACTGCCGCCTCTCACGTGGAAGGCAGGCCAGCCCATGTGAATCCAAATGCCACCACATCAGTTTTGTGGCAGATCCACTGGGAGCATCCGACTGTGATCCAGGGCCCTCCGAGCCGCGGGAAGAGGAACACAAATGCAATCTTCGGGGCCCTCCTACTTCCGTTCTCAAAGCAGAAACGCTGTCTTGTCTACCCTCAACCCTGCACCTCTTCCAAAAGCTTCGACCGAAAGCAGAGCAGATCGTGGCGGTCAAGAGTGGCTAGAATAGGTGGTTCAACAGCCCCTCCAGCCCCGACTCTGTCGAATCCGCCGCCGACGCTTCCCTGAGGCCCCTGCCCCCTCCTCCCCGGCCGAGGGCCGCTGAGAAGCGGGAAGAGGAACTAAGTGACCCGCAAGGATGCCCAGAAAGCTGGCGTGCAGGGGGGTGGGGAGGTGGGCGCCGACGCGCAGCGGAAGGAAAGGGAGAGGAAGAGCGCCAGAGAGGGACGCGACTTTAGCGATGCGGCGGTGCCCGGGCTCCGGGAGAGGCGGCGGTGAGCCAGGGCAGAAGAAGCGACGTCCCCTCTCGGCCACGCCTCGGACTGCGGGAGAAAGGCTGCGGCCCGCCCCGTCGGAAGGCGCGGACTGAGGGCCCGCGGTGCTCCCAGAGCTGGCTGGAGTGCCCGGGATTGGCGGTGTACCCAGGATCTGCGGGTGTACCCGAGAGCCAACGATGCACCCAGGGTCGGTGGGTGCTGCCGGGGGCTGGCGGGTGTTCCCGGGTCAGTCGATGCTCCCGCAGCCGGCGGGCACTGCCGGGACCAACGAATGCTCCCCGGGTTGACGAGTGATCCGGGATTCAGTGGCCGCTCCCCAAGACCGGCTCTCTCGCCCCGCCGCCGGGAGAGGCGGCTCCGGGAGGCACCGGGCGACAGGGCAGGGTTACCTGAAGCGGGGCGAGTCCTTCAGGCACTCCTCGAAATCCACCGTCATCTTCATCTTTCCTCCGCCTGGCCTCGCAAGCGACGCCGGAGGAGCAGCGGGAGCTGCGGGAGTGGAGGAGCGGAGGAGCGGTGGCACCGGGAATCTGGGCGGCGTCGGCGGGCGCTCGGCCGCCTCTAGCGCTGCACGGAGCTGCGGAGGGCACCGTGCACCCTGGACATAGCAGCCGCGAAGACTGCAACAGCTCGGCAGGCCCAGGCCGCCTCTTCCTCCGCCCCAGCTGAGCGCCGGCCGGGGGAAAACGCTCCGGAGTGACAGCCGCGGCCAGCCAGCCACCAAGCCGCGGCCATGGGAGGGGCTTCCGGCAGCACCGCCCGCGGGAGGTGCACGAACACTGCGACAGCCAACCGCGGTGCGCTGGTGTCGTTAGGCGGGATGCGCGGGTTGCTAGGAGGCTGGTCACGCAGGCGCCCTGAAAAGGAAGGAAGTCACGTGGCCTGTGTCGCTCAGCTCCCCTCCACCCCCCACTCCATCCCTCACCCCTCCCTCGGGTCTGAAAGGAAGATGTGCTCTTTAAAGCAGCTTTGGAAGCAATCTGTAGAGATCTAAGAGCAGAAATTATGACAAGGAAAGGATTAGACTAAGCCTTTCAGTTTAGAGAAACTGAGGCCAGGAGAGGCGTGAGGGCACCTTTGATAACCTTTCGCGTATTGGTTCCACCGCTTAATGATTTGGAAATTGCTTCTACATACATCTTTTCATACAATCAGGGACCGTTCCCTGAAAGAAAGTACAATGGCTAAACGATATTAAAAGCACCCATAAAAGTATGAGTGTACCTGTAAAAATGCATAGGTGGGATGTTTGAACCCAGTGGTTGTGAACACCTGGAGGCAACTTCTAGAGTTCGCTCCTAGCTTTCCCACTTGACAGGACGCTCATCTGATAGAACTGTCCAGTTGACACGGCGTCACACATCCAACAAGCATTGGTTGCAATTGCACTACTGTCTTCTTTGCAGGTTAGTCAAAGGTCAAGCCTCAGCCGGCTCACTTTTACTATCTAAAGTCTGTAACCTTTGGCCATTTGCATATGTTAGAGAGTGGTTGCACGCTAGAGAGTTTTTGTAACCTCCAGTTAAACCTTGACCTCTTCTGCACTTTTAGAACGTTCCAGCATAATCTGAAACTTTTGAAAGAACACACATTGTATATGTTTTTTTTTTCGTTAGAAACTTTTTCGCTTTTTTTTTAATTGAATTGTACATCTCTATACTCTACATAGGTTCTCTTGATAGCTACAAGTTATCAATTGTTAAATGCTCAGTATCCTCAAGTATATCAACTGGTCAGGCTAATCCTTTCGAGGAATGTAACTCTACCAAGAGAATTAGCCATGTATACTGCGTTTAATTGCATTGATTTGTGACAGTCAGCATATGCAGTCAGTTAGTGTGCCAAGGTTTCATCATTCTGTTGCAAGACACTTAAAAGTGGCACGGGAGGGGGCAAGTTAAAATTCAGCAGCACAAGATCTTAATATGAGGCCAGCCTGGGCTACACAATAACACCCTGTCTCAAAAACACAGACATAGTAACCAAAACCCTGTGGTACTGGCACAAACCCAGAGAGGCAGAGCAGTGGGATAGCACTGAGAACCCAGAATGAAAACCACACACCTACACTACCAAATCTTTAAACAGGGATGACAAAACATAGCTGGGATATGGTGCTGGTGCTCACTCATATCCATCACAAATGGTGCTGAAGAACCTGGACATCTGCATATAAGATAATGACAGTAGGGTCTGGAGCAATGTCCATACGTGGCTTATCACACAATTACAAGACCTGTATTTGGATCCTCGGCACCCATGTAAAAAGCTAAATATGGTGACATGTGCTGTGGTCCCAAGGCTGGGAGATGGAGAGAGGCTGAGCTGAGGAGCTTTGGGCTCAGTGAGAATTTATCTCCAAATATAAGGTCAAGAGCGGCTGGGAAGACATCCAATATCTACCTTAACACACAGGCATGTGCACACACATGAGCACAGACACATGCATGTGCCACGCACATATCCCAAAAAAACTTCCACATGGCGTTTTTAAAAAAAAAATAAAAACAGCAAAGTAAAGAGACAGCCTATAGAATGGTAAATATTTTTGTCAATTACACATGACAGGCATTAAAATCTAGAATCTATAACAAGAATGAAAAACATAAATGAATAACCCTCCAGGGTCAGCATAATGACTCAGTAGGAAAGACTCTTGCCACTAAACCTGAGCTCAATCCTGGATCCCACACTGGAAAGAAAGTACAAGCTACCAAGTCTGTGTGTGCTTGACCTGCATACATGCTGTCAAAAGTTAATGTCCATACTCACACACTCATGTGCTTTACACACACAATAATTTTTATTTACTTTTTAAAGTATGTGTGTTTGTCCCTGGGAATATATACCGCCTGTGTTCTGGTATCTGCAATGGCCAGGTAAGAGTGTCAAAGCCGCTGAAATTGGAGTTACAGGTAGCTGTGGACTACTTGATGTGAGTAGTGGGAAGTGAACTGAACTCGGGTCCTCTGAAAGAACAAGTGCTCTTTTAAGCATTGAGCTATCTCTCCAGTCCCAACACACACACACACACACACACACACACACACACACACGCTTTTAAAAAGAGAAATACAAATTTTAATTAAAGGGAGAAAACTCCAAAAGTTAAACACAAAAAGAAAAAAATATTCTTTTAGTAAATAGGTTGATAGACATTTCTCAAAGGAAGAAAGAAAAAGAAAAAAGTGCTCAGTATCCTTAGTCATCAAGGAAATGCAAATTAAAACTGCATGGAGATTACTTTTCACCAGAGTCAGAATGCTGGTCAAGAAAACCAACCACGCTGGGTGCGGTGGCACACACCTTTAATCACAGAACTCAGCCGGTGGATCTCGTGAGTTAGAGGCCAGTCTGGTCTACAGAGAGAGTTCCAGGACAGCTAGGGCAGTTACACAGAGAAACCCTGTCAAAAAAAAAAAAAAAAAAACAAAAGTAAAAAAGAAAAGCAATCACAATAAATGCTAGGGATGTACAGAAAGAGAGGAGCCCTTCTGCAGCACTGGTGGAAAGGTAAACTAACGCAGTCACCATAGAAATCAGGATGGAGGCACCACATAGACTAAGCTAGGATTATCATGATCATGAGATGAGATGCTATGATACACCTACACCATTCCTAGATATACACACGAAGGATTCTCAGTCAGCATCCCACAGAGGTACCTGCACACCCACGCTTATTGAGATACTCCTTAGCATAGCCAAGACAATGGAACTAGCTTCAAGGTCTATCAACAGATGAAGAGAGGACATGGAAGAAATTACGATATTTGCCTATAAATGGATGGAGCTTGAGATAATTATATTAAAAATGAAGTTAGATGGTATCTACCGCCTTATACAATAACTAACTCCAAATGAATCAAAGACCTCAATGTGAAACCTGAAGCCATTAAAGGAAACATAGACAGTACCAGTACCCTATGTGTTACAGATGGGACTTCACAAAACTTAAAAAAAAAAAAAATTGCACAGCTAAGGAAATAATCAAGTAGGGAGGAAACCCACTGAATAGGAGCAAATCTTTGCCATCTGTCAGCTATGCATCTGAAAGAGGATTAATATCCAGAATAGATGAAGGACTCAGAAAACAAAGAATTAAGAAAACAGACAACCCAATTAAAAAAAATAGACAGGGCTCTGAACAGAGAGTTTTCAAAGGAAGAAATAAAAATGGCTATGAAATAGCTCAAAAGATGTTCAGCACCCTTAGCAATCAGAGAAATGCAAATCAAGATAACTTTGAGATTCGATCTTATGGCAGTCAGAATGGCTAAGATCAACAAAACATCAAGCGAAGGGAAGACTATGGAGAAGGAAAGACCCTGACTCACTGCTGGTGAGACTGCAAACCTGCGCAAGCCTCTCTGGAAATCAGTGTGGAGAATTCTCAAAAAGCTAAAAATAAATCTACCATATGCCCAGCTGTAGCATCCTTGGCTTCTGGCCAAAGGTCGACATCCTACTCCACAGATACTTGGGGCTATAGAAGAGAAGTAATCTAGATTCATAAAGACAAACCCAGTATTTTCGCTCATAGGCAGAATCTACATTTGAATTTATATGTTCATGTAGTTGTTCCTAGATATCTATATAAGAGGGCACAGTAAAGAAACCATCAAAATCTTCAGTCCATGATTAGGAGAAAATGTTTTTATTGTGGATAAGAGAGGAAAAATATCCAGAGGCATCTGGAAGAGTCCAGAGCAGAGAGAAAGCAACAGACTAGACATGGCCAGGGTTATCTGCCAGAGAGGGGAGAATAGCAGAGAGGGGCGGCAGAGGAAGGGGGGACCTCAAAGGTATCTAGGAGGGGAGAAGCCTGTGAACAGAAGCAGGCCTGGGAGTTCAGGGTAGAGGCAGAGTTGAGAGGGACCCGGATGTCAATGTGGAGTGTGAAATGCCTAAGGGGTACTTGTGAATAGGAGCCTAGGAGCCTGGAGGCTAGCGTGAACTTTGAGATATGCTGATAGCCCCCACAGGTTTATCAATGGGGAACTAAGTGTCCCTTTTCTGCCAGAGGCAAGGGAAATGACTCCTTTTGGTGGACAAATTGGGAACCTGTTTTACAAGTTCCTGAGGACCTCTGACTTTTATCTAAGCACCTGAAATCCTTCTGCTGTCCAGCCTGGTGGGAGAGTCAAGACTGTCGTTTCTGGATGTGTGTGCTTCCTGAAACCTACCTGACATAAGTAGCAAGTAGAAATGGTGAGGACAACAGGTACAGAGAGGAGCAGAGGAAATGAGAAGGTAATGGAATATGTGTATGCTGGTTAGTTTTGATTGTTTTTGTCAACTTGACCCAAGCTAAAGTCATCTGGGAAGAGGGACCGTCAATGGAGGAGCTGTCTCCTTCAGACAGTCCTGTGGGTGAGTCTGTGGGGCACTTTCTTGACTAGTGATCGATGTGGGAGGGCCCAGCCCACTGTGGTACTGACCAAGCCTACTGTGGGTGGTGCCCCCCTAGGCGGGTGGTCCTGGGTTGTCTAAGGAAGCCAGCTGAGTAAGCCATGGAAAGCAAGCTGGTAAGCCCAGCTTCTCTGTTCTGTCTGCTTCAGTTCCTGCCTCCAGCGTCTTGCCTTGGCGGCAAGTAATGGTGGCTGTAACCTGTAATCCATATAAATCCATTCCTCCCTAAATTGCTCCTGGTCGTGTTTTATCACAGCCACAGAATGCAAACGAGACAGAAGTT